CTACCTGCAGACCCTGTTTGGTTTTCTCCAGCGAGGAACATTTAGCTTGAGACGCCTCCCCGGCCTCTTCAACAGATTGCAGTTTGACAACTAACTTCTTCCTACAAAGCACCAGACAAAAAACAACGTTGTGCAGTTAATACATAACAGAACTCACGTACACACTGCACAATTGGACAAAGACTGAAGTCAAGATGGTAAAGAAATGGTAGCAGATTTACAACTCAAAATTTGTAATTTTAAACCAATGCGTGTTCAAAGTCAAACCAAAAAGCAGCAACTGGAAAATGTTTATTTTGCCAACAGTTGCTTGCAGATTCAGTTAGTCAGCTAATTAGCTCCAAGAGTTGGTTGGCATCTACCACTGACTTGAGGATTACAACAAACCTATGAGTCTGGCGAAGTAAAAGGCAGGATGAGCCACTACCCTAAACTCTGATATAGTAATTGTTGGGTGTTCAGATGTGAGTAAAGCAAATTTAGTAACCACCGCATTTTAATAGCATTTGGCTGGTGCCAGGTAAGTGGTAGTGTCCATGACCGGTGTTACTACAGCACCTAGGTCATACATGAGGCTTTTTCTAATGTAACTCCACAAAATAGAAAATGATATGCTAACCCTTAGCCTTGGAAGTAATGCTAGGCTACTGCTGCAGGTTGTAGTTAGCTTGACATTAGCAACTTACATTATATTAGTTCCATTCTTTTTTATCAGTATTGTCTTACTTTGCGTCTTCCAGCTCCTCTATTCTCAGCACAGCATCGGTCTCGTACTTGGCTCTCCACTGAACCACCTGGCTGTTGGCTTTCGACAGCGCCCTCTGCAGTTCAGCCTTGGCCTCCTGCTCCTGCTCCTCCTCCAGCTGCTCTCGAAGCAGACTGCAGTCGTGACGGGACGCCTGCACTGCGTGAGCCAGCGCTACACGAGCCTGAAACACACACACCCTACGTATTTACTTTTGACCACCTGATGCATGTAGTTAACACAAGTTGGCTTATTAATTTTTTTTGCATTAATTAGGCCCTAAACACAGGTTCAATTTGCTGTTACTTTGCTGTCCTCCTCCAGCTGCCTCTTCAGATCTTCAGAGTTTTGGCAAACGCCCGCCTTGGAACGCTGGAGCTGACTGATCATAGCGTCTCGCTCCTCCAGACGACGGCTGTACTCGGCTACAAGAACGATACAGAGGAAGTTGATAGCAGTATGTCAAGCCCCCTTCTTTGAGAAATGTAATTTAAAGATTCAATCTTGTGTTTATAAACTGAGAATTATATCTAAGATACACATTTTAATGTGTGTATGTACCAGTCTCAGTGAGTGCTCGTGCTTTCTGAGCGGAAACTTCGGTCAGTTGTCTCTGCAGCTCCTCGGCTCTGCCCCTGCTTTCATTCAGCTGGTCCTCGTAAACCCTGCACATCTTCTCCACAGTTCCCTACACACAAACACACAAGCAGCCA